CCGTGTACTTGTCGTGGTGGCGACGAAAGCCTTCTTTCACACATGCCTCAGCTGCCTCGGCCCGGGGTTTTGTCGACCCAGAGGTCTCTTCCCAGCCGGTTGACAGCGACACTCGCAACGGCCGTCACGGCTCTGATCACCATCCACTGGGCATTAGCTATGTGATCATCGGTGGCAACCGCGCCCTTGTAGTTCCCCGCTGCGAAAACTATCACTGCGATTTAATTAGTCTGCTGCTGCTCGACGGTCATCATCTCTCATCGTCGCCGTCTCTCGTCGCGCAGCTGCATTGTCGTCAGAAACAGTCGTCGTGCATCGCGAAGGCACCCGGGTGCTCGCATAAATCCTGTCATCTTACGGGTTGGTCGAGCCACTGTAGTCGAGCCATTATGGCGCAACAAGCATCGCCGCCATTTTCTACGCTCTAGAATCCTGCCCAAAGTTTGTTCCCCTTCGTGCAATAAAAAAAAAGTTAAAAGCACGAGCATATCACCCCGAACGTGCCCCGAATAGGGTGCCTTGATGTGCGCTTTGCTTTGGGTGATGACATCTAGAGCCACTCTATATGGCAGCGTAGCTGCCAGAGTAGCGACACGACGCAAAATTATCTAGATGCACGACGTCAGAAGCGCTGATAGTGATCTCCATTTTGGGCCTGGGAGGTTGCCATGGTAACGGTGCTTCTAGCGACGCCGGGCGGCAACCTTTGTAGTCTAGTTGATATCTCCATTCGTTCATTGAAAAGTGGTATAAGACGCTTGGCATCGCTGTACGGCAAGAACCTCTGGAGGAACAGTGCCTGTTTTTTCTGAAAAGTGAGACGATTTGCAGCCCGGGGACTGTCGGGCGACGAGAGCTGCTATGGTATCGTACGTGCACGGACAAGGCGAGTGGTTTTCGGCGCCGCCGGGATGGCGGCCGCTTCGTGGGACGAACCTACCGTCCTAGTACTTTCGTACTTCGCTCCGATGGAACAAAATACTACTACGCCGGCCACGACAGGACGATTGGCTCGGGATATGACTGATGCTCGACTGCCCCATAGTGAGCGAGTATATGTTTAGCATCATACTTCTTCGAGACCCGATCATCCCTTCAAGATAAGATTCTCTCACCGACTGGTGAGGAGCGACGTCGACGGGGTTCAACCAAGAAGGACGTCATGGTGGTCTCTAGGGAATTTTAACGCCATCGAAAGAGACGGACGCCGGATATGAGGTGTTCTTGCCGACAAGCCAAATGGTCGTTCGGAAATTTACCGGCATTCACAAAGTTAATATTTTTATCTGGTGTAGCACACATATCCGTGTTAAAGGGGCCACAAAATTATTTTTAAACTTCTTCTTCCTTACCTGTAATCCTCAACTCAAAAGGGAACTGTGAAATCACGCAGTCGTGACATGCTAGGGCACCGGTGCGATGACCCCAAGCTTTCACCGTGCTTTTTAAGCACACCGTAGAACTTGGCATTCGCAAGTGATGATAAGTTTTTTCAAGGCACTCATTGGCCAGGAACGCGAATTCAAATATCCATGGACGAATTGATTGCTGACGAGCGTGTAGACATCCGAGCGACGCAGTTTTCGTGTCCAATGCGTGAGCTGGGGTCGGCTGACGTCATTTTGGCCTTTGTAGGCATTGTAAAGAGGATATTTAGAACCATACACACATGATGATAACGTCATAGCACACTGGCATTAAGGAGCACAAAACGGGCCCAGCTACAGAAAATAAATATTACCCTCGTAAGAAATAAATACGTCTGTAACTTGTTAATTACAAAGACGAACACACCTCTGAGCATCTAAGTTTAATAGTATGTGTTGATGCATTGTTATATAGCAGGACATTTCATATACGTCACTTGAGCAAACGCCAGTTTTTCACTTGAAAAAAATAACAAAAAACACTGCGATCAAATGCAAGCTATGGCAACGAAAGCAAGTTATATCAAAATCTTCAGAACTGCCATTTCGTAAAATTGGCGATTAATAAAAAAGGTTAAAGATCGCAGGAGCTTCTTCAGTAAAAAATGCTGTGATTATTCGGTGACCCAGGGCTGAAACGATTTCCCCTAGGCCCTACACGTGCCGTATACCTTTCCTTATGATTCTCAGAAATTCAGACTTTCAAAGGAAGCTAGAAAAATGCGAAAATTTTATCCTAAAAGCTATGTAAAGCGCAAGTTCGTCTGCTTCTTTTTGCAGGGGTTGTGGTGACATCAGAACGCCGAGATCTGAGTGGCTCCGATTGAAGGATAGTGGGTAGACCTAAAAGCAAGCTCCCTTGAGGCCTACCCAATATTCTTTATTCAGAACCAATCAGAGCTCGGCGTTCTGACGTCACCACAACCCCTACTAAAAGAAGCAGACGAACTTGCGCTGCGCATATTGTAAAATCGTTGATTAGTATACTTGTAAGTTGTGTGAATATTTATACAGCGTGTAGTTGGTCAGCCATATCAAAGTTGCGATGAATCACTCGCTGCAGATGAGCAATTTAGCCAATGCAGTACAACCGCTAGCCTGGGGTCTATAGGTCTCTAACGTGCACCACGCAGTATAGTGATACACAACCGCAGGCCGGTACGATGCTCATCCAGATGGAAACGGGCGGGGGTGGGGATTGAACGTAGGTTCCCTGGTTGATTAGTACAAAACGTAAACATCGCAGGAGCTTCCTCGCTAAAAGTTTGTGATAATGCGGTTACCTGGGGCAAAAACAAATTCCCCAATGCTCAACATGCGACGCATAGATTTCGCATCGATTCTCAGACACTCCAACGTTCAAATAAAGCTAAGAGAATGCGAAAATTGCATGCTAAATGTCTTATCGATCCTCAAACACATCCGGAAACCCGAGCACCGCTAAGGCGATATTACTGATGCTGTCGCACAGGTGCTAATATCCAGAGCGATCTTGCACAGAAAGGGTATAAAGTATCATTCTTTCAGATCTTCACGTTACACCTACGTCAGAAAGCACGAAGAAGCCCTAAATCGTCTGCAAGCTGCGGTACATCACGACTCCGCGCACTGAACAAACTCGCATCCACCAGCTCTGGGCGCTGCCATCTTACCGATGACAGATGACATCACGGCTCTTGAGAGGTCACGTGACGAGTCGTCACTCGGTTGCTACGGAAACCGAGCCAGCTCAGCTCGTTGCTATGGTACTGCGTGTGACCAATCGCGGTGAGAGGCGGCACAGGGAAAAGCGTGGCGCTACTCTGGCAGCTACGCTGCCATATCGAGTGGCTCTAATGACATCTGGCCATTTTCTTCCGAACGCTTACCTTTATTTCTTGTTCTGAGGCACGTGAAAGAGCGTGTCCCTGCACGCGCTCGTGGCGCTGACTGTGCTACGGCGACATTTTGTTTCCTGCGATTTCTTTGTAATTTCTCTATGAGCGCGTGCTGTCGGCACCGGGTACTACAAACGATGGCATCACCCTTAACAGAAGGACATTGAGGCACTCTAGAGCCGAACGATGCTTGCACGAACGTTAGCTAACACAGCGCAAGCGCGCCTGCTCGACAGGGACGTTGAAAGCCAGGAGCACGTTCTTGTAGCTCCTACGCCAGCACTAGCTCTCACTCATAGTGAAACAGAGAGTACGGTGTGTCGAGTAGTACCGCAGTTAATCTAGTTACGCGACTTCCGCTATGTGCTACGTAGGTTGGACGTGGTCATACATTATTTTGTCGTCACGGTCCGAACTCCAAGAGCGAAAGTTACGGCGAACGGTTGCTTTCGTGTTTCGCGAACAGTCCCATGGGAACCGCGTGGAATTATCACGCGGGCTGTGGCCAGTAGGAGCGCGCGGTACGTAGGGGGAGGAGTTTTCAAGAAACACGAACGTGACCGTTTGTGACCAGAATAACACCCCAGGGCCGGTTTGCTCATCTTGCGGCTGCGGAGAGAGAGAGAGAATGCACTTTAATATTGAGCACAAATTAAGTGTTCAAAACATCCATGGCTTGTAACACCAAGTCCATTTGGTCATCCGGTTCGTCTGACGCCAGCCAAGCACTCCAGGAAAGGGGAGGGGGGTTAGGGAGGAACGGTGTGGATTGTGCAATAGGGCACTGTGCATCGACCATCGACACCTAAAATGACTTTGGATCAAGAAATCGAATTAATTATAATTAATTCCATTTCTTGATCCAAAGTCATTTTAGGTGTTTGCATTAGAGAGAGGGTTTGCGATGGTCGACGCCTGACTCATTTTTGCATTTGGTCGTGATCGTCTGCTATTCTAACTAATATTCAACAAGTAATGTGTTAATATTACAAAACGATTGCCACAACAAAATGTAAAGAGTATAAATATACTTTTTATCTCATTCCATGCAAGTAACGGTATGATCTCTTTTATTTCGGTTTTACTACTTTCTCAGACGTTTGACCTGCTGCCTAGCCTGTAGGATTTCGCTCAATCAATGTATCCCCAGCTGCTAGTCTTTTTTTTTTTTTTTTGCTTGTTTTATTTTATTTTTTTAATTGCTACAACTGCAGTTTTTATTAGTCCTAAATAGGCTTCTCTTGTTATTGAAAGGAATCGTAGCAAGAGCGTTATTTGAAAACAGATAAAATTGTAAACGCTGGGGAAAGGATGCTTGTTTCGGCTCCGCTTGTGTGAAAGCCATACTGATGCTGTTAGCTTGGTTTCCTTTTAATGAACATTACGAAATGATTGCATTAGCGCGTTAACTCGCGTTGATCTTTTTTTTTCTACTTCCCTGTGTTTCGATTGAACAGGTGGGACTAACAGTAAAAGCGTGTAAGGCGCAGTAGTGCAAGTGGATGATTTCCAAAAAAGGATCACAGTTCAAAAATAAGACACGCGCAAAATACAAAAGAAAAAAAGAAGTCCCTGGCGTGATTTGAACCCGGAACTTTCACGCCGCGGCGACAAGTACCGGCGCTTTAACTTCTCGACCACAACAGAAGGCTTTTTTTTTTTTTTATATCTTTATTACATGATGTTCCGTAACTACCACAACACGTTCATTCGTACTGTATATACATTAAAACATGCACACCTTTAAAAAGCTATTTACAAACAACTATCACACAAATTTTTACATTTGGCATCTTGAACATGTGGCCATTAGACTTATTAGCAGACAATGACAAAACTAAGGTGAAAGATTCGGGCAAGTCTCACTTACGCTCGCAGTTCTTTTTCTTCAGAAATTCGGTAAGCCAAGGCATTTGTCAAACATAGGGAACCAGTCAGGCTGGTTAAACTTTGAAGCATATACACTTCTCACCTGCGCCACTTGCTTTAGAAAGAGCGACTTCGTCGTACGCGGCTTCTCCGCATGCCTATCGATCATGCGGCACTTCCACAGACTATGCAAACCTAAAAGAGCAAACATGTCGTACGGTACGGTTTCATTTTCAGAAAAAGGAAGGAAGCGAAGATTGTAGTCGTTAAGAACTAGGTCTTTTTGTAGAGTGCGTTGCAGCACATCCCAAAACAAAAACGCATCATTACAGTATATGAAACAGTGTTCTATTGTCTCTGGCTTGTTACATAATCTACAGTTTACTGTCCAGGGTACAAATATTCCTTTTTCTTCGAGGTAAGTTTTAAAGGGTAAAGTGGATGTGTGTAATTTAAAGAAAAACGTCTTAGTTGAGGGAGGCACTCCCATTTTCTTGACCCTTTTAAACACGTCGTTGATAGGTTCCAGTGTCAAACGGGTACGATAAAGTGGCAGAGGAAACAAGCTTTCTTTTATGCTCCTTGAGAGTGCCTTTCTGGATACAGTAAACAAATATTCCAACGAAAATCTTGCTTTGAGGAAGTTAAGTGTGTCAACCACTTCCTTTAAAAAGCCCCATGGTGTGCCTTGAGAGCTTTCGACGGTTGAAACAATCAGATAGTTTAAACTACCAGAAAGACGTCGTTGGAGCATTACTCTGAGGAAATCGTGATTAACATTTTTAAAGAAAAAGAATCGCGAGACCAGCTGTCGCACAAATATATGACAAAGACCTAAACCGCCGCATTCAAGAGGAAGAAAGAGATTGTCTCTTTTTATGGGCTCCCAAGTTGAACACCATATGAATGTAGCGAATATTCTGTGGATTTTCTGGATGTTGGTCCGAGAGCAGTGAAGCACCTGGAGCACGTACATAAGCTTAGAAGCTAGAAATACATTGCAAACACTAGATCTAGCGAAAATTGAAATGTCCCTTCCTCTCCACGCGTCTGTTTTCTTTTTCAGTGTGGTTGTCAAGGAGGACCAGTAGGTCACATTGCTACGGATTTGTGAGAGAGGTACTCCGAGATATGTAAGGGGATTCCGGTTCCACGCTATACCAGCAAACAATGAAGGTTTTGTGGCCCAGGAACCATACCAGAAGCCATTGCATTTAGCAGGATTTACGGAAGCTCCTGTGACCTCACAGTAACGTGCTGTGAGATCAAGGGCTCTCTCGACGCTTCTCTTGTCTGTGCGAAAAAATGCCACGTCATCCGCATACGCAAGAACTTTTGACCACAACAGAAGGCGCGACGCGCGGCGCCGGCGGAGGTATATAAAAATACTGCTACCATTTTTATCTCGTGTGGTTTTTTTCTTTATTTTGGCTCCTATTTGCCCTCCCTGGCCGTAACTTTACCTGCCGCTCCTACAGTATAAAGGGGCGGTCAGTTAGATTCCAGTTGAAAGTCCCTCCAATCAGTTTCCGCGAGCGAAGTTAAGCGCGAAACGCATGTACGACGAAACCGTCCGATCCGACGTCCGACCGCGCAATACGACGGTCGGAGGCGAGGGTTTTCAACGTTCTCCGATGCTACGAAAACCCTCTCCCCCCAAGGTCATTCCGGCAGTCCGCACGTCGGATCGGAAGGTTTCGTCGTACATGTGTTTCGCGCTTTAGGCTTTTGTGCTTGAAGCGATGCGGATCTCTCCGCCATTAGGTAGGGACGCTAGGTACTTGTCCCCGTGGAGCTGGTCACGTGACGTAAAAATCCCTCCTGGCCGCGGCCGCGTCCGCAGCCGCAAGATGAGCAAACCAGCCCTGAACACGCTGCTGGAGTGTTATAATTGCACACGAGTGCGCGTGCACGGCCTTGATCGGCGCTCGAGGTGCGCAACCTCCCCTGCTCCTATTGCTTTGATTCCATTGACATTAAAGGGGCACTCAAGTGCTTTTTGGAAAAGCTTGTTTTTGGAAGCATATTGTTTGCTGGGCTTCAGTCAATAAAAATGATCAGTTCTAAATGGCAAGGCGCCCTAGTAAACTCACAGCAATAGAAATACACAGGCACTATATCCTCTTGCGGGGTCCATCCCGTGTCTCCACCACCTCCATAGAATTCGACCAATAGAAATAGCGAACTGCGAAAAGATTGCTAAAGTTATTATTATTGCTCTTTTTAGGTACATGCACATTATATTTTGACAACAACGCCAAATCTTTGGCTGTAGGTGACGTAATACAGCTATTATTGTTTGAAAAAGAGCGAACTACGTTTTCTCCTCGCCTTGTTACGCGGGAGTGATGTGCCCACGCACATCCATCCCGGGTGTGCTACAGGCCAGCTGTAGCACACCCGGATCGAGGCACAGCCCCTCGAAATCCGGGTGGCTTGTCACGCAGCTCTGCCGGCCCTGCTGCTTGCGAACGGCGGCCGGGTAGTCACGGCAGCAGACACACTCTGCGACGGTTTCCATCGGCACGCAGCAACTGCATAGGCACCTTAAAACAGAAAACCAGCATCAGCTATACATATGAGAGGTATAATAAACAGCTCATCACCTACCAGTTGGTGTTCCCAAGCCGCTGGGTTGCGTCGTCGGTTTCGTCGTCTTCCTCCGGTGTCGACATTGAGCATCGCCAACTGTCGTCCGAGTCCGTCGCGTTCAAGGCATCGGCGTCGCGCGTAGGAGTGGCGTCGTAGGAGATTGAGCTGATATCTACCGTCCGCCGAAGAATTTCCACCTCCAACGGTGTTAGATTTGGCAGGTCCATCTCCGCACGACGCAAGACCCGAAGTAAACAAAATGAGTCCCAACGAGAATCCATCAAATACGCGCACATTCGGAAGATCACTCCGCCGGTTCGAAGGATCAATCCGCCGGGAAGCCGTCACTCGTGATTGGATGGCGCACGCCCTTCCCTGCTGCCTTCCCGTCCGACAGCGCCCCTGACGGCGTGCGCCTAGGCGCAGAACAGCGATCTTTGATTGGATTTTTAATAGGGAAATCGGCCGCCCTTGAATGTAATTTAGGGATTTCTAGGATGCTTAGAGCCCGCAGATTGAGTTATGACAATAAATAGACGATCTCAGAATCCACTTGAGTGCCCCTTTAAGGCCTGTTCATACATGCAGAGGAGCGCTACAAGCATAGCGCTTACCTCGCGCTAAGCGCGTGCTGACGGGAGCGTTCACCAGCTTTGTATCGCACCGTCAAAACTGTTGCTCATGGCAGACGATAAGTAGCTGACGGCACGTGAGAAGCGCTACATCAGCGCTCCGCTGCATGTGAGAACCGGCCTTTAGGGTGCCTTCATGTGAGCTTTCCTTATTGACACAGGGACCCAGAACCGTATATGTAGAGGGCTTGGCCGTTCGTTGGGAATTATAGACGCTTTACACACGCGCCAAATTACAGCCGCCATTGCTGACCTTCTCTTGTCTTACCGAGATGCCGGGCAACTGAAACGGTAGTTGACGATCCTCTACAAAAGCCGATGCTTTAGAAAAGGACACAGTTGAACCCAATATGGCAATAACCTGGCCTGCTATGGTAATGGTGAAGTGAAATAAACGAAATAAGGGGAAACAAAAACTGAAGGTCAGTTATGGCGGCGCTCATGCACAGTTGCTGCAAAGCGTCTATAAGAGACACATGAGGAGGCGCTTTTGGCCGAAAGCGGGATGGGCGTGTTCCCTTGCGTCTGCAGAAATTCGAATGTGGCCAACCAAAAGCCGGAAATATTACCCTGGCGGTGGTCGCGAGAAACGAACTTGACAAGTGCATCAGAGTAACTTTTGGTGACTGAAAATATGATGCGCGTGATGTTTTAAACATGGTCATCCAAAATCATGGTGGAAAACTGCGACTAGCGCAACGATTGACATAATCCGTACGCCAAGCGCCGTGAACCGGGAATCTGCCGTTCTGCGGTCACATGTCTGTCCGAGGAAAACAGAATTGGGCGGCGTATTCGTTTCTTACATCTCTCTGCATGATCATGATCGGAACATTCCGTGCATCCTATTTTCCACCACAAAATGTAACTACACTTCACTCTGACGCGCTTATCAAAACCATATACGAACACATACCTTTGATTAAAACAGTTTCTCGCTACCGCCGTTAGAGGATTCTTTCAAGTTTCTGGTGGCCAAGAGAGCATGCCAAGCCAACTTTCTGCGTCTGTTGCATGTCCTGGCTCTGCCGGCGCCTCCCATTGACCAAACTCTCTGTATACACGGCTCTGCAGGGACCCACTGTTCTCTACTATAGACCATTCCAGTATTTACAAGTGCTCAGCCCAGCGTGCCATCTCCTCAGCACAGCACGCGCATGTTCGTCGCTACGGAAAGCAAGCAAATCACGCCCCATACGCACAAATACTGAAAACTAAACCGGCCAGGAGCCCTTTTTGGAAAGATCTTTAGACGCTAGCAAGCATGGCGTCCCAACTGGTGTCCTATGCGTGCAAGCGTGTGCAGCCTACGCTTGCAGATGGCTTTGCACGCTTACAATTCCAGGTGTTTGTTCACAGGAAGAGGAATATTCCGGCAGCCAGATAACCCTGTTTGCAATCGTCTATGGTGGGCTAGATGGCGCTTCGTCGCGCTGTAAAGCGTGTTTCACAAACAGCGATTTTGGCCCTAGAGCGGCGCGATTTCTGCCGTCGCGGCGCTCGTGTCGCTCAACCGCTGGTGCTGGCTAGAGCCACTCTATATGGCAGCGTAGCTAGTGCTGGCCAGATCGCCGCGACAGAAGAAATCGTGCCGCTCTAGGGCCAATAACGCTGCATGTGAAACACGCTTAAGTCGGGCGCGAGTGAAGTCACTGAAAGCTCGATTTCTGTCCTAGAAGTTGACTGTCTGCTGTAGTTCAGAATACACTTAGTTCATGTTTATGTTTTCGATTCCATTTATTGTTACGTGGGTTTTAATCATCCTTTTAACATTAAATCCAGAATGAGGCATGCATGTAAACGCGTGGCATGCACACTCGATCAACTAGAATCTCGAAATGCTCATACAACAAATGGCTTCCCAGAATACTTTTCGGGTCTGTATCATCTGTTATTGCGCAACAAAGAGGCTCTCTTGAGATAGCAAAGCAAATCCGTGCCTAAGAAAAGAGATGGTTTCAAAGGACTAACGGCAGCACTTGGTCCTCTGAACTCCCATTTGCTCTCCCATGAGACCATCTGGTTCGAGCTAGGTACCGTGCGCAAATGCTGAGGACTAACTGCACTCGACCGGGACTAGACGAAAGGCCGCGCGCCTTTCGTTGTGTCCCGGTCGAGTGCAGTTAGTCCTCAGCATTTTCGCACGGTCTCCCGCGGACACGGTGGGAGAAAGACATTTAGGTGATGACTCTCTGTCTCGCGCGGCGACCACATTATGTTCGGCGCACCGAGCGCGCTTCACTCGCACGAAGAGAGATGGCGCTCAAGTATGAAGGGGCTTGTGAAAGCTTGTATAGAGGGCTTGTAAAGGAAATTATGCATTCTTTACTCGGTCTCTGTGTACTGTGTAGTGAAATGAATGTATGTTAGCGCAGTGGCACTGATTGCCTTTTCCCCGTGCGGTTCCTGTTTTTTTCTAAACGAGAACATTTCGATGATGACTCAACGTGACAAAAATATTCGTATAAGTATAAAACTTCCCGGCATAATCTACTGAGCCTTCAATAATTTAGTGTAAACACCTGGGTCGTACTCGCATGTTTTATCAATCGACATCTTTAGTAACAGTTCCGTAACTTGTTTACACACATTGCGTGGCTTTATATCAGGTCGGGTGATTTTTCCCCCCGGCTCCTGCCTTATTGAAAAAAAAAATTCTAATGATGTTACATAGTGGGGCCTAAATAATTCTTTACATGCGCATAAAGGTTTTAGCATTACAAATGGTTTATACATAAAATGTCAACTTGTACTGTGGAACATACAAACCTTGTGAACAGAAAAAAATTATATTTATGATGACATAGTGACTGAAACGATGGCACAGTATGACGACATACTGGTTGACATGATGACACAGTGACTGAATTTCAAACAATAGTAGCGGTTATAAAACATAAATCACTTTTTATCTATGCTCCCACAGTATGGTGGCATCCCGTCTTACAGGTAAAAAAATACCTGACAAGTATTTTTGCTTTAAAATGTACATAAAAGCTGAATTCACTGCATACTACCAAAGAACGCCACCTCCTACATCCTGTGTTTCTCGCCCATGCCCTTAAA